TTTGTTAACCCCCTTCTCTAAGATCATGTATCCGCCCCAGGCCCTTGGAGACATTGATTCAAGTAGTCTGCACGCTTATCTCTTTTACACAAACCTGGAACTATCCATGAACACTTCAAGAACATTGCAAGAAATTCTGTTATACTCATAACTGTTAAGATAGATGCACATCTTCTTCCTGCTGTTCCCCTTGGTGACGTTTGAAACTAAATTCGTCTGTTTCACTTTTTTATTACCTAGATATCAATGAATGTGATAACGACACGAACGATTGTCACGTGAACGCAAATTGTACAAACACCCTAGGATCCTTTAACTGTACTTGCAAGGCGGGATATATTGGAGATGGAAACAAATGTTCAGGTGTGATTTAATGCATAACTATCATAACATAACTAAACATCCGGTCCCACCAGAGGACATGTTACGGCGACATGTAACGAAGAGAAAATCTAAGCATGTACTCGAACACAAACGAAAATGCAGCAGGTTCGCGCTGCAGTGACGTATTCGCTGAAAGAGAATCAGCACACATAAGTGTAAGAATCGCCAGAACTTATCTGCTTCACCCTGCGTGTCTGTTCATGTTGTGACTTTATATCTGGTACTGGAGAGCGGGTATCAATAAACGAGATGCCCGCCCCTGATGCTGTGTTCGTGTTTATTAAGATTAGTTACAAAATATCTTATAATCGTTTCAGGGTTGATTAAAGTATAAGGGTAAGAATCGCCAGAACTTATCTGCTTCACTCTGCGTGTCTGTTCATGTTGTGACTTTATATCTGGTACTAGTAGTAATATAGTAGTAATCAAAGATTATGAGAGTGCGATTGACGCCGTCACTTTAATATATATACCTTAAATAAATGGTTTCACTATAGCTGACTCTCAACCTCTATTGCTAAAATCAACGTTTTTCATCGAAAACCGAGGTTTTACAGACAGATATATCTTAGTGTCAAAGTCCATGCAAGTTTAAGAGGTCCCTGTAATAACTATGATTTGTTGATTCGTTGAGTGACAGCGCCAGTTTCCGTAGACTCATATTAACAGGTAATGTTTAAGCGTAATGGTTAATTTGAAAAAATATATTTTATATACATTATTCTAAGCTGGAAGCATAAATATAGGCAAACATTTGCAATCGTACGAGTGTGCTCGTTTATCGTCCGCGTAAACAAACTCCGTGCGACTGATTCGAGTATTTCCCCTGATGAATATAGCAGACAGTATTTACATAATTTGCCGTTCCTTGGTTCAGGCATACTCTTATGGATCTTTTCCCGCCGATTCCAAACAATATTTGACGTATAAAGACTGAGCTACATGTATCTGTCGCGACAGGAACTAATCAACAAATCCAATCAAAATATGGCTGGTTTCCCACAGTTAACATTCCAAAGCCAAGGCGATTCAAAGTCGTGTTCGTTAACATACAAAATAAACGAGGACAATTCCCTCAGATTTCGATAAAGGCTACCATCGAAGCGTTCATATTCATCAATATCCAACGCTGAAAGCACAAAATAGCGAAGCTCATGGCGACTGAATGGAAAGAAGTCAAAGAAAGACCCAGCGCAAAGACGAGCTCGCATGGCCTGCTTACATGCTCACATGTTCGTCACATGTCTTATCATATGTAATCACGTCTTAGTATTAAACAGTACCAGTTTATTGACCGTGACATGCCCTGCAAAAATCAAGCAGGGTGGCCATTTTGGTGTCCTTACAGGAATGCGGAGTTTTTCTGCATATAACCGTGCACAGGGTAACCAACTCTGGTTCTTCAAACGCAACAAGTCGCCGTGACATGTTCCAGGGTGTTTGAGCCTAAAACGTATTCTTTAATGAAAAAGTTATTTCTTGGGACCGCGTGTTTTTGCTCATGAAGTTAGCGAGCTCTTTTTCTAGGCTATGTTGGGTCAGTTTCTCTTATTAACATTTGTCTTGAACAGAGGTGAATGCGGTTCTAAATTTGATAAAGGATTCAGATGGTTCAATTTTTAGTCATTCTCTTCCTAAATAATAATTGCACACTAAATAACGATCAGTTGTTGACAGTGTGTACTTTTTGTTCCTCAGCTGTGGCCGGATCCTGCAAGGAGCTACTTGACCTGAACCTGTAAGAACAGGTCCTCATTTTGAAATTTAATCAATGGAAAGCTGTGATCCATGCCTCAGTATGTATACTGGCGGGGTACAGTGAAAAACTCGACGATGTAGTTACATACAACAATTATTGTTATATAGCTGGCGTGTTTCCCGCTACAGCGCGCCCATTCATTGGCTAGTTTATGGTCACATGGCATCTAACAATGAAACTGTTTCCCGCCAAATGCATGAGCGGCCAACATTGCGAAAACTATAACGTCAAACGGGAAACAGTACACTGTTACCCGCGAAATGTTGACCACTGTTGCACGTTATTTGTCAATGTCTCGGGAAACATCGAGATTCTCGGGAAACAAAATTCACTGTTCCCCTCGGGACCAGTCATTAAGTGTTAATATCAAACTAATTCGCAATTTCCAACTGTTAGATGAAAGCTATTCGAGTTGTTCTCTCGTGTTTTTAGATCTTCGGGTAATAAAGCCTACCCACTAAAGCTGGGATCATCAATTGAACTTGATGTCTACTGTCACATGGCTAATGATCTTGGTGCATGTGGAGGTAGCGGATGGACGCTGGTTATGAAAATTGACGGTAATAAGGTAGAGATGGGATATTTTATTGTTTGTTTTGCAAATTTGGAAAGCCTAGCCTTACAAAATGTGGTTACCATGAAAGCATCAAGTTCCGACGAATTTAACATGTCATACCGAGTTGTTTCCAGGCAAATCAAGTTTTAGTGAGAGCTTGGCATAACAAATATTGAAAAACCTATTAACAGTTACAGTCAGCGCGGGCACTCCGCCTCTTCCACCACACCCATTCCCCCTAGGTCTGAAAAGGGTTCATTAATTCCTTTGCTAATGGGTGATTTGCATGACAGCATCATTTGACTACAGCTACCGGAATCCTTCACTTTTCCTGTTTCTTCTGCTAATTTGGACATTGTTATTTAAACTCCACTGGGGCTTCAAAATTTTAATAATAAAGAAAAAACGAAAGGAATTCGGGTAATTCTGGTAGTTGTAGTCAAATGACCGTAATGTGCAAATCTGCTATTCACGTCAAATTGGGTGTGTGCATCAAATTGAGCACATCATCGCACAAAGTATTAAGCATAGAATACGATTGCAAATTGAATATATAAAATAATTTTAACACTTAGTTTTGCAATCAGCTCCCAGATTTACAAGCATGGAGGAGAACAAATTTCAAATTTTGAAAATGGGTTTACTCCCATAAGTTAAAACTTTAAGCAGCTGTTTATATCGTATTGGATATGACAACTGTCTTTGGATTCTGACGTTGCTGAGGCAACGTATTGTCCATTTGCAACTTTACCCACATCTAAACGTTTAAGATTTTCAATGTTCTTAAACCTTTTTTTCAGTATATTTGCTAATATCTAAATCCTTACGCGCTGTAATGCTGTGGAGAACTATGAGCAAACTTGAATGTTCCTGCTTCCCATTTTTCTACATAGGAAACCTTCCACTATGATTCAAGCCTTTGGAGCAACAAAAAGACCCATAATACTGAAGGAGGGAAGACTGGTTTTGACATGCAAGAGGCCAAGCTACCAACCTACTGGAACATGTCGTTCTCCAAGATCTGTCTTGGCATGAAGATCCCTGGACAGGAAACCACCAATTTTATCTCGATTAACAAAAAGGCTGACTCGCTGTACTCACTCATCGCTGACGGGCAGTTCCGCGCCACATCACTGGGCCGCAACAGGTGGAAAGCGCTACTTGGTTCAAAAGATACCTTGCAGCTCCACTGTAACAGGGAGGGCTTTAATGCATACTGTGGCTATCCCAAGGCAAGAATCGGTATTCTTGGTAACAACGAAAACGACTGCAACACCTGTGACTCTTTCATTGGGTTTGGTACCAAGGACTCAACAAAAAGTGGCCCGTGTGGAGATAGGCACATCAAAGTCATGGGTTATATCTTGATTCAGTGACACCCGCGTATTGCTTATTTTGCATTCGTGCGGGACATGTTCATAAGAAAAAGCTGAAAGTACTAGTGTTTGCTTTGTAATCAGAACTTCATTAAATAATCAGAATATGTGGTAACCCGAAACTTATGTACAATGCTGGAACCGCTGATCTGTACTTCCCTGCATTACATAGAGCGCTTTTAAATTAAGCGTCGTTAAACCAAAACCAAACCAATAAGTTACCAATGATAGGCACAATTAGTTAGTATACTTTCGCAGTACTCGCCTAACTTATAATTACTTTGAATTGTTTTGAAAATAAGAGCCGAAGAGAAGGGGTTGGCAAAACTTCTATTAAAATATAATCAATATGAAAATATGATCAACACGTATGACAGTGTATTCCTTTCAAATTTGGTTTACCTCTCTCAAGACCTTTTTATGCAAAAAAGGATGAACAAAAAAATTAAAAAAGAAAATTTATTGCATACTCATAAAGCTATTTCTGCTATGACTCAGCTTGAAGCTTTGAGTTCCAAAGATGATTAATTAAAAATCATTTTAGTTTTAAGTCACGTGGACGGTAAGATATGCGAAGGAAATAATTATGGTTGGAAAATATGGTCCTTGCAGATATGTGAAGATTACAGTGTTAACAAATTACGTACATAGCCAGCATCTCGATCTAGTTTCTTTAAACTTGTCAGC